GGGGGGGGGGGGGGGGGGCTCAGCTGAACCTCACAGACAGTGCTCTGGGGGTTGGGTGGACAGCACGATGAAAGGGACCCTTATCCCGACCCAATGTTGTGGAGCAGCACTGACCTACAGACCTAGATGAGCAGGGAAACGGCTGCTAAGTGAGAAACACACTTAGGTATTCTTGAAGCCACTGTTTTTTTGTTTGTTTGTTTGTTTGTTTGTTTTGATATATATGATAGCGACTTAACCTTACCCTGGCTAATGCAGCTTTAAGAAATGTACTGGGTTTTTGAAATAGTCATGAAGTGGTCTTTATTTTAAACCAGCTGAGAGCTGGACAACTATGAGCTAGAAATTAGTGAAGTTTTTTGTTTTTGTTTTTGTTTTTTTTTCAGTTTATAGCCACGCTGAAAAGAAAAGGATACTACACAATTGAATATCTAATGTAGGGACTCTATGAGTCAGGAACGATCTTTATTTTAAGAACAATGATCTACCATGGCCTTCCTGTGGGAGACTAAGGTCTAACTTCCGAGCCTCTGTCTCAGACTTGTCACCCTCTCCACAGTGTTGGAAGCAAACACCAAGGCCATCGGGCATGATCCCTCACGGTGGCTTTTCTGCATCCACACGGCTCCCCTCTGCAGTCTCAACTTTCTTAGGACGAGGGTCTCTGAAGGTCAGGACCTTGCCCACCTGGTTCCCTAAGGTACCCCCATCCCCGGTACTAAGCACGGGGCCTCACAAGCAACAGACAGGTGGCAACAAATGAACTTAAAGAGCTTTCCTCCTTTTGAAGGTCACTTCTTCATCGGGCCTTAATCGGTTCTTTCAAACTCCTGGAGGACTTTATTTAACCAATTATTCCCCCGTCTCAACATTCCATGGGTTTCTTCCCCCCTTCAGACTACAGGGAAGACTATACATATAAACCTTATTCAAAACCACACAAAACCCCTCAACCCTGAGATTCCCTTTAACTACCCTTGCATCCCCACCCCTTCTACCCTTGCTATGCCATCACCTAGCCCTTAAACCTGTACCTGCTCAAATTGCTTTTGTAAAGCTCACCAGCAACTTTTTTTTCTTTTCTTTTTCTTTCTTTCTTCTTCTTCTTTTTTTTTTTTTTT